ACAGCCTTGCCGGCCAGGATGTACCACCTCTGTGCGACCAGTAAGATTCCCTCCTGGCCGGCAAGGAGGTTGTACAACCTCGCCGGCCAGTTGTCGACCTTGTAGGACACCCGCCGGTGTCCTACAAGGATCGAAAGTTTTTTTTTTAAAACTCTTATATGTAGGCTATCCCATAGGACCCATGCCTGGGTCCTATGGGATAGCCCTGGTCCTAAACCCATACTAATATGTGTTTAGGACCTGCACGCCAATCTAAGCCATGAACCTTGCTGCAGATTGGCGTGCAGGCCTGCACGCCAATCTGCTTTTGGCGTGTGGGCCCTGCACGCCAATCTGCCAGTGGCGTGCAGATTGGCGTGCGCCTTGGGGGTTGGCGTGCGCTTATCAACCCCCCTCCGAGAGCCAAGCCAGGTGGAGTTGATTCAACTTCGGCAAAGATTACTAGGAAAAAACGGATCCGGAAGAGATCGTTGTATGTACCTGACTATTATTCCAATATTCATAATTTTCTGACTTTGTTTTGAAAATATTATATTTTATCTTCTCTGGTTCCCTCCCTGATTGCTACACCTGGGTTTGCTTGTTGTGATGCTGGATTGAAATCATAACGCCTAAACTGTGTATGAATTACTGTACTATTTGCTGGCAAATCATCCGTTTTACGTGTAGATCCATGAAAGCTTATCAGCATCAAAGATCCCAAAGGAAGCGACCAGCCAGGAGGGCCAAGAAGAAACAGCATGGGATTCAATCCCTTCTCACCACATACTGGGTGCCTGGAAAGATGTGAACAACATCCAGAACTCCAGTGCCGATGTACCTTTTTCCCGCTATTACCGCTGAGTATCGACAAAAGAAGGAAGCAAGGGCTGTTGCCAACGAGCGGTTCAAGCAGCATGGTGGACAAAAGCCCTCAACCAAAACAATTCACAAGCGCAACCCAACACCCAACAAAATCGAGGACGCCTATCGCTATGTGAACGACCCTTCTAAGTTCAAGCTATACGACCACGGCCATGTACGCGCCTTCGATGCTACTCAAAATGACCAACTTATTGCAGACATTCACTTTATCAATCTGAATAAAATCAGCAAATCAACCCAGAAGATATACAATTCTTGTGCTTATTTTCTTCACAATCCAAGCGATTTGTGAATCCGGTGAGGGTCAACAGGCAGGGTCTTGGTGGTGGCGTGAATGTT